GTGCCTCTACAGAAGGAGTTTGGTCTGTACATAACTGCTGGGAGTTGTGGTGCGTTGCTCTGCTGCCACATTGCAAGTTCTTCCAAGTTCTTGCCATTATCAACAAGTTGTTAGTAAATTAAGTCTGAGTGATTCCCAGCAAGACTTGACCAGAGGAACAAGTATCGGCCGTATTGTTTGTTGTTTGTGTTGGCTTCGTGCAGAGGAACTCCTTGAGCCGTGTGCTTTGTGCTTGAGCACACAGCTGTGCTTTGTGTTGAAATTCCTGAGCCCCCGATCACCCTAACGGGAAACGTTTTTAGCTTGGAAAACTCGAGGAAGTGTGTGGGTCTACTCAGAGGTTCTGTCACTGATGTGTAATATAATAAGGATTTTGAAGAATGTAGTCTGAAGTGCACCTGAAATTCCCACTGATGTGGTGTGTATGCTTAAAGCTAGTCAAAGCCATTGATTAAATGTTTGCTTGATTGACACTAGACACAAGGGCTGGGAAAATCTGTCTCTTACTGGAACAAACTGGTTATTACTGTTTTTTCTGTGATGTGTAAGAAAATAGGCAGCTTCTCAGGAGCTGTTTTTCCTCTGTTCAGGTACTTGAACTAGATGTATGCCTGGAATTAGCAATCAGATTTCAAGATTAGTGAAGGTATGAGAAAGCCTTTCCCCTGCTTGAGATAATGTGGACAGTCCAAAGTGCGAGGGGTGAGTGCTGAGCAATCAGCGTGGCTCCATCCAAAACTTTTCCAGCCCAGCTCAGCCTTGGAGGGCCTAAGTGGCTTCCACAGGGGTGGAGTCAAGTTGATTTCTTTATACTGCCTTTCTCAGTGCTTCACCTCAAGAAAAAACATCCTCCTCAGTGTCAGCAGGGCAGGAGCAGATGGAGCTTGGATTGCTGACCAATGAGACTGGTAGTGCAGGAGTATCTGATGCTGTGACAGTTCTCAGTGTGCGTGGAGCCAGCTCGTGGAAATACTGGAGATGCTGCTGAGCTGGCATTGCAGCACTTCTAGGATGAAACCAGTTTGGGGCTCTACTTCTGAGGCAGTGTTATTCTGTATTACCCATGTAGGCAGAACCCTGATAACCAAGCAAATTATAAAATGCACCTGAGTACAAATTGAATGTACAGCTGCCTTCTGGGTCTCTCTCTGCTGAATCCAGGCTGTGGGCTGCCACTTGACCATCCTGGAACTGCAGTTCCTTGTAGCTAAATTCTTGTGTTACTATAGTGGGATAAATTTAGCTTGTTTTGTCGTCTTGTCTTGGCTCATTTCTGAAGTTCTGCACATGATATTATGTTACTTCTTGCTTGTCAATACCAAAATGCCCAAAAAACAATGTTCTTCTCAGTTTAGTAATGTTGCAGTAAAACTTTGGTTGAGATTCCTGGAGATAGATGGTTGGAGAACCAGAGGACTCAGTTTCGAGTTGTTTTATTTTTTTCTTTCATGTCCTCATTCAGTCACGTTTCTTAGGAAGTGTATCCAAACCAATAATTTGCCATCTTTCACTTTGTGTCTCATGAATTTGGAAGAACAACAAGAACTATTCTTCACCCGAAAGGCTGGAAGGGGCTGAGGACCAAAATTAGATCTTAAGTCAAAGCTTTTATTCACGGTTTCAAGTTCAGGGTAGTGGAATTTCATTGTAGGGTTATTTTGCAGCTCTTTGCTCGTGAGATATTTTGTCGAAAAGGAAGACTACTTTATGGGTTATCTCCAGGCTGGCTGTGACTGGGGTGTGTGCCCAAATGGTCACATTTGGTCTCTCTTTGATGTAGAGACTGTAGAAAAAGGATGCTTTAGGCCAAAGACAGGGCTAGTCTCAACAAACAGCACAGAGTTCATAAAGGCAGTTCCCACCAGATTTGGACAGTGGTGCTCCTAAGGCAGCTCAAGAGAGCAGCCAGTGACACAACAGAGGACCAAACTCAAGTTTCTCAGACGCCTTTTGTGTAGCCTGTTGGGCCTCATACTTGGCCAGAGTGAGGGTCATGGAAATTGGGACTTTTGTCCAAGAAGGAACACGTGTAAAACTGCTTCATCCTGTAGGAACTCCTGTCCTTGTTGAAGGGTGGGAACTGTTATATCACCTTCCCCTCCATTTGGAGATTAATTGTATGTTCTTGTATTTAAATGTGAAAGTATGTTTGACCAGCTGTGGATTGAAAGAAAGTATTCAGTCCCTAAATATCTTTGCATCATCTTGGAGCAAGAAAAAGACAGCTCTCTGAGTTCTTTGGTTCGCTACTGGACTTGTGTGAGATTGTGACACATGAATTCACAACATTTTTTCTCTTGCCTTTTCCAGCATGCTGAAGGCAGCACAACCCTTTTAAAAAAAAAAAAAAACCCAAATTAGTAATTGAGTAACAAAATAACTCAAAATATTCTAATGAAGAATAATGCAACAAAATCAGAGGAGAGTAAGTTCTTGTGAAATAAATTTGTGTTTAGCCAGACAAAAACCTTGTGTCAATTAGAAAGTGTGTGTTTCAAAACTTGACATGTAGTGGGGTCAGTGTATTAGAATATGATTTTAATAATGTAATGTTTGATGATGTAGAGTTGAGATGTGGATTTTGGAATTTTGTTTGTCTCTCTCCTGGGAGCGTGGAGGGTGGGTAAGAGTTGGGTGCAGAGAGGAGACACTCTGCTCCATCCTGGGATGGAGAACAGCCACTGTGTCTGATGACTGTGGAGGAAAAGGAATGTGCAGATTCTGTCAGATGAGCAGGGCTTGTTTTTAAATATCATAACCAAAGATAAGTGTTACGAAAATAACTCATTTACTGATAATTTTATCTACTTTGAGGTTGAAAATTTGGTGAAAAATAGATTTATCTGGGTAGTGTAGCTCTTAGCACTGGTGATGGGAAAATTGATAATGCAGTTTGGGACTGACAAAGTGCTATACTTATCACAGCAGGCTTTAGTATTGTGTTGTCTTGCGATGTGGTGCAACAAAGCAGATTAAACTCTCTAGACATGGCATCTTAATGTGCTTCCTTGTGAGCGGAGACTTGGGAAAATAACGCCAGTTGAGTGTTTTTTATGTCTGTGCTTGAGCACAGGCTTGTGTCAAGGAGTTGGATAGAAGGAAAAGGTAAGTCCTGGAATGTGTAGGGACTGTGCCCACTTGCAGATGAGTGCATTTGGAACATGCTTGAGCCCATGAACTTGAAAACTTGTCACAGCTCTAGACTGAGACAGAATTAATGGCTTTGAAGCACCAGGCAGGCTGAGGATGGAGTAGAGCTTTCTCAAGTGCTTCGTGTTCCGCTGCAGGTCCTGGGTGGACCAGCGGCTGAGCCTGGAAGCTGAGGATAGGACTGTGTGGCCCGTGGGTTTATCCAGTGCACTCCACTGCCAGGGGATGTGCGTTAGGCTCGTAGGGCATTTGTTCAGTTATTTCTTGCTCTGTCCTTAAAAACTTTTAACCTTACTGCTAAAGAAAACTGCCATTGTCTGTTAGTACGACTGGAACGAAAGCTGAATAGCGAGTTAGCCTTGAGCAGACTGTCAATCTGACTTTGATAGCCCATCACTTAAAAGGTCCTTTTATGTTTATGAAAAAGCATGACATCAAAGCCAGGGGAAAAAAAAAAAACCAATAGTTAGGGCTTAACTTAAACTTGCATAACTTCCATGAAGAGCCCTTGTGTGAACTGTTTGTTTCTCCACTTGCATGGCTAATTAGAGTAGGTTACTATAAGTCTGAGCAGTGGCCATCAAGTTTCTTCTTTGGGGTAGCTTGTTTATGGTGCTTCCATATGTGGATCCCTCAAACTGGAGTGGCGTAGAGCAAAGGATACTGTAGTCGCTTCTCTTGCAACCTCTTAAGTAGCATGCTGGAAATGCTTGAATATAATCATTATCAGGTGAGTTGTTGTTGCAAACTTATTTTAAAACCTGTTTACTAAGAAGGTGTACAGGATGCAGGAAACCCTTTTACTCTGGTGTCTTGGATGCCTTATTTAATTTCTTTCACAGCAATAAGTGGGGGACGTACGTGGTCACTTGTAGCAGCAAAAGTCAGTTTAATGGAACTGTTTTAAAACAAAATAACTTCTCAGAGTATTACTATATTTTGGTTTGTTTTCTATCTTCTGGTGGAAACACTAATGACCAGAGAAAGGCGACAAAGAGCTTCCAGGATATGGTGGAAATTTTTCATGCCTTTCTTCTCTTACTTATTTAGAGTGTGCACCAGCAGTTCGGTGTGAGGTTTTTCATATTTTGGACATAAAAAAAATTCCAAGTACTGAAAAGCTTATCTTAAATACAGAAATAGCTGTTGCTGAGGACAGTGATTGATCTGAACTGAAACACTTCTTTTCTTGCATCTTATTTGCATGATGTGTTTATAAACAGGCTGTCTTATTTGTATATGATTTAGGCCATATATCTGAGATATAAATAATCCTTAGGCAGAAAAATGGTGTCTTCCTGTTTTTCTAGTTTAATCAATGCATTAATTTAAAAAAACCCTAACAACCAAAACCTAAAAAAAGTCCAACGACAAACCTTTTGACCTCTCTGCTATTTGACATTGCATCAAGGACAGCAATCCCTAGTACTTGGTTTTCATTTGTAGCTATTAACAAGTAAAATGAGTCCTGCAGTACAAGTCGTTTCTCCATATTTTAGTGAAAGCTGAGTGTCACAGAGCTGAAGGTCTGAATGCAGAACCGTCTGTTCTGGACTGTCTGTATCAACTGGAAACCTGAGCATTGGGCTTAAGTGAGAAATCTCCTTCTACAGAAGAATAACTGGAGCTTCTTGGTTTACCGACAGTAATTCAGTTGTTGAAACACCGGGTCATAAACTGATTTTTTTGCCACCAAAAAAGTTAGTGGAGAGCTGCGGCTTTCCTTGGAGCTGCATGGGTTTGTACTTTGTCAAATGCTTAGCAGGTACTTCTGTCAGAAGTGCTCAAACCCCCAGCACCCCTGATGACGCTGTCAAGCAATAACTCCCTCTCTTAATTGTGTCGCGCAGGTGCAGACTCACCTTGAGAATCCAACCAAGTACCACATCCAGCAGGCCCAGAGGCAGCAGGTAAAGCAGTACCTCTCTACCACTCTAGCAAATAAACATGCCAACCAAGCCCTGAGCTTGCCATGTCCAAACCAGCCCGGGGATCATGTCATGCCGCCTGGAACTGGAAGCAGCGCTCCCAACAGCCCGATGGCAATGCTCACCCTCAACTCCAACTGTGAGAAAGAGGTAATATACGCTCTCCCTGTTCACGTCCTTCAGTAAAATGGAATTGCAGTCTGCTTTAATTAAGTTGTTTTAAACCATATTTGCTCGTTGTTAAGAAGATTGTGTTTATCTCCTCTGAACCTTGTGAAAATGTAACTGCTACCTCTGCCTGATTAGTGGATAGGTGCACAAAACATTTTGGCAAAACAACTGTATCCCTCAAACTTCCTCCTTTTTCAACTGTAGTAGCTAGTTGATACTTATTAAAACTACTTTACTTTTCCCCCACCCTGTTGCTTGATGCAACTGTGAATAATTGACCTTTGGAGAACACAAAGCAGCTTTGTAAGCTGTAGCTTTCTGTAATAATGTTATTTATGGCTCATTCTTGTAGAAAGAGCAAAGAGCATAGCAAAAATAACTGAAAAAAATGCAAAGCTTTTTTTGAAATATTTTAGGTATTTTTACAGTAAAATTTGTGCAAGCCTCCTGTGTAGCTGGAAGGCCAGATTATCCCAGCTAATATAACCTAAAATGTTACTGGTTCTTGTTTCAGTGCTGCAAATATAAGACTTCACTAGCCTATGCCTAGTAGTCCTTTGCAACCTTATCTCAATCTTTTCTGGTGTAAACTTAATTAGATGTTACATGTGTGCTCAGGCACCAAAGGAAGATGACTGGGAAGATATTAACAAATATAAGAGTCATGTCAGTATTTTGTAAAATGAAAAATTGGAGACAGTTGTAGAGCTATTTATGTCCTCTCATCCTCCCCTCAAGCCTTTGTGCCAGATTTTTACTGCAGATGCACTCTGAGAGGAGAATACTACACATCTTTGAGAAACAGTCATTACAGAACGTATTTTGCCCAGGCAAGAGTAATACTTGTGCTCCATAGTTTCAAAAGAAATGAAAATCAAATATTTCCATCCTATTGTCCCAGTGGCACCCAAATATTTTTTTCTCCAAGGTATTTGCAGCTTCACTTTGCTGTGTCATCAGGAACATGTGTGCATGACACTATTTCGATCGTGCTCTTTTTGGGACTGAGACTGTGCCATGAACTCAGATCCATGCTTTGCTTTTTCTTCCTCTTTTTTTTTTTTTTTTTTTTTTTTTTTTTTTTTTTTTTTTTTTTTTTTTTTTTTTTTTTTTTTTTTTTTTTTTTTTTTTTTTTTTTTTTTTTTTTTTTTTTTTTTTTTTTTTTTTTTTTTTTTTTTTTTTTTTTTTTTTTTTTTTTTTTTTTTTTTTTTTTTTTTTTTTTTTTTTTTTTTTTTAT